TGGTTAGCTCTTCCTTCTGGCTTGGCATCAGCGCGCGTGCCATCTTTGGTAAAAATGTCCCACGGCAGGGGGCCAAGAAGACCAAGCCCAGATCCCTGAGGCCCTGCCCCCAAGACCCCCTATCAAACAGACAAATCCTGCAGGCCGCTTGGGTCTCACGGGTTTCCACAAGAACGGCCTGAGGCTGTCCAGATGCTCGGTGGGAACGCAGGAAGGTACGTTTGTAGCACCACCCTCAGCACCCGGGTCAGCAGCCCCAGCAAACACCAGGGGAGCCTCAGTGGCCTCACATATTGGTGCACAGCTAGCAGACAAGGTCCTCGGTCATTTTTGAAAACAGGGACTTTGCCCTTTCCGAGTCCTGCTGCCCTCCACAAATGTCACCAACAGCAGCTCGGCCATCCTGCTGGACAGGCCGGGCAGTCCTCCTCTGGCCAGGGGATTTGGATTCTTTCACAATCTTTCACTCTCATCTGACTTTTCTTGGAGATAACTGCCCGCTACGCACTTCTGTTTGGGTCTTGGAGCATATGCCTGGGAGAAGAGGCCATCTGTGCCTCTGGAGGCCCTGATCATCAGCAATGATGGGCATCTGACTGGGTCAGTTCCAAGGTCGGTTGGCCAGCAGCCAGAAGGGAACAGAGAAGGGCTCTCGTGGGCCCTTTCCACCTCTTGGTGAATGCCTTCTCATATCTATGTTCCAGACCCTCAAACCCACCCAGAGGAGCCCACCAGTCCAGGCAGTGCCAGAAGGTACCAGAGGAAGAATGAGGGCTTCCCGGCCGGATCTGAGCTGAGGATCCCAAGGCAGGGCACTCACACAGTGAAGGCCGCCCCGCCTGGCAGAGTCAGCCTCCTGGCCCAGCCCGCCCACTCTCCGGGACCCACGGACAGGGCTGCCACTCTTCACAGTCTGCTCCCACTTCTTCTAAGGCCTGGCTCTGACCCCATGAGCTGCCAACACCTGCTTCACAGTTTTCTCTTTTGTAAATGGAGGTCATAGGAGCTAGAGGGGACCTCCGAGGTTATGTGGCCCAAACCCCGGGTTATGGAGGAGGAAACTGAGGTTTGGAGGAGGGAAGGGGCTTTCCCGAGGTCCCCCAGGTGGTCAGTGGCCAGCGAGAATTCTTGAGCTCCCCACCACGTGGGGCTGTTGTGAGGGAAAGCTCTGCCAACCTTAGAGCAGGTGTAATGAGGAGCTGGGGGGCCCCACCACCACACTGAATGGAGAAGCCAAGACAAAATAAGACGGGGCTCAGGCTCTGGGGTCGGTGACAAAGGGGCACGGCAGGCCCCTCTATCCCACCCCCAACTCAAAAGGGCCAGAGTAAGAACCAAACCAGGAGACCGAAGGCAATCACAGGTGGGAAGGAGCTGTTGAAAATGGGGGGTGCCCCTGGAAATGAGGACCACACCAGATTTTCAGAAGCACCCCCAAGAAAACAACCCCTGCCCCACCGCCTGCCACCAAGGGCTGATCCACCTTGGGAGAATGGAAGAGAACCAGCCAGGCGACCAGGGCAGTGACAGCCAGCCTCGCACGCCCCCTGGTGGCCGCTCCTCCGTTCACTCCTGGGGAAGAACCCAGAAAAACCGCAGAGACCTCAGGTGAGCCCTGCAGGTGGGCCTGCTAAGAAAGCAGAGTGGCACCACATTCTTTACTCGTTCAGTAAGCACGCATTGAGCACCCACTGTTTGCCAGGACCACGCTAGGTGCTGGAACCCAAAGGTAAAAATAAAACTGTCCCTGCCCTCCTGACACCCTGGCCCTGAGTGGACACCCTGTCTCTGGTGCTTAGCACTGGGTGCCCTCGGGTAAGTCCTTCACCTGGGGCAGCAGACAGAGCACCAGGCCGAGTGAGCCTCTGCCCAACCTCCAGGGTGCTTGTGAGGATCTGCGAGCCTCAGCACTCCGAGTCTGGCACCAAGTCAGCGCTACAGAAAGGCCGGCCATCGCGAGGACCCGCCAAATGAAAGGGCCCGTCTGGACCGAGGCCTCTGTCATCCTACTGAGAGAATCGACCTCGAAACGTAGGACGGCTAAACAACAGGGTGCGGGAGAGGCCCGGAGAGAGCCGAGCCGCAGCCTCCAAGGCCTAAGCGCTCTCCAAGCACAAGCTGGCAGGTGAAGGCTGATGTGGAGAGCACCCGCCACGAGGCAGAGACCCGCAGGGACCCCGAGGAGACTGCCTCCAAACCAAAGCGGCACCACCCACGAGGATCCGTGTCACAGACGGACAGAGAGAGGCAGCGGCCAGGAGGCTCATTCTTCACCTCAGAGAGAACTGGAAGGCCCCGCTGACGGCGGCCTCTAGTAACGCCACAAAGGCCAAGCCGCTTATGCGCTGCTGGGCAGGACACGTGGCGGTTCTGGCCTCGCCGCCCCCACCGCGCCCCTCTCACTCGGCTCCATGGGGAGGGTCTCTGGATCTGTATACCCGGCCGTCACCCCTGTCCTGACCTCCAGGCCCACGTCACCACCTGCCGGCTGCACGTCCCCGGCTCGACACGCAGAGATCTGCAGAGAGATGTGACAGCCAAGAGCGAAGAAGAGCACGGCCCGGCGTGAGACGGGGAAGTGTCGCTAGGCTATAGCTCACGAGGGGAGGGGAGCTCAAAGTCTCCGCCGGCCCCATGCCCCCTTCTCGTCTCACCGCCCCAGTTGGACCCTGGGGTCAGTCAGGTAACAGTCTACTCTCCAAACGTCCGCCCAGCTCGGGCTCTCGCCTCTTGGCCTCTGGCTTCCGTCCCCCCAGCTCCGCTTCTCGATTTCCGGCTACTGGGGCCTTGCCCTCCCACCCGCGTCACTGTGGATTTTGGGCTACGTGCCCTGTATTTACTGATGCGTCTGTGTCGTGTTCAGTCTGTCAGTCAGCGAGGGCTGCCAGAGCACCTAGTACGTGCCAGGCACTAAATGCTGGGAGGAAACAACCTACAAACAGCGGTAAGTAGAGGATGGCTGAGGAGCGATCTGTGAGGCGGAGCTGGGCCCTCGGCGACCCCAAGCGGCCTCCTGTCTGGAGCGCTCAGCACAGCACGCAGCATACGGTAACAGCGACAATGCTTAAAAGCGTTTCCAGAGCGCTTTGAGGGACGCTGCCGTGGCGGGTCTCCTCTGGTCTGATCTCACACCTCCTGACTCCAAGCCCGTGTGCTCCTTCCCCTCCAAGTGCTCAGAGAAGGCCCCACCTGAGCATGGGCATCTCGGCCTCTGGACCTCCAGCCCTCCAAGCCCTGCCCCGGAAAGCCAGGGGCCCTGCTGGACTCCACTCTTGACCGTCACCTCTCCAAAGCAGAGTGGCCACGCCTGGTCAGTGGAGCCTTCACCACATTTCCCCCACGGTCCCCTTCTCTCCCCTCACACAGCCCTTGGCCCCCATGCTCAGACCCTCCTCGTCTCTCATGGGGCTGTCCCTTCTCTCAGCTGCCAGAAGCGCCTTGCTAAGGACCCGGCCTGACTGGAGATGAAGGCCCTCCACAACCTGGCACTGATCTCTCCAGCCTGATTTCATGACTATGGCACAGGGATGGTGCTAAATAAATTCATTAACTCATTTATGCCTCTTCCCCTCCGAGCCAAGATGTAAATACTCCTAAAGATTCTGCTCCATCAACTCACCCTAACATGCCACTGCACGTCAGGCCATCTCTGCCCACCAGGGGCTGACATTCAGAGAAGTGAGAAGAGACATGGGGGTGGGATCTGAGCTGAGGAGGGAAAGCATTCTGGGTGTGGGGAACAGCCGCGGCAAAAGTGCAGAGGTGGGAGATGAAATACAGAGTTCAGGAAATGATCTCCCTCCTGACCAGCAGTGCAAGACACCCCCACACACACGTATACACTACGGTCCAGTTTCTCCTCATGCTGTATCTCCCCTGCCAGACTCTAAGCTAACTGAAGGCAGGGAACCATCTTCTTAACACTCTATTTGTGTCCTTGGCACTTAGCACAGTCTCTGGTAAGCACTTACTGCCCACTCATTCTAGCTAGCTGCCTGTCTGTCCATCTGTCTACTTGTCTGTCTGCCTATCTTTCCATCTGCCTGCCTGTCTATCCTTCCATCTGCCCATATGTCTGTCTGTCTGTCAGGTTTGGCTGGAACATAAACTGTGTGAATAAGAGTAATGTGAAACATGCCTGCAAAGGGAGAGGCCAGGATTTCCCACTTGACCCTAGGGGCAGCAGGGAGCCAGCAGGGCAGTGACAGGGTCTGGCCTTTCTGTCTTAGGAAGGTTCCTCTGAATGAGGAGTCTCCCAGCTGGAAGAGGCCTCAGGCTCTAGCAGTATATTCCTACAGATGCACATGGGGATGGTCATGGGGGAGTTTCCTCCCACCCCCAATATCTCCTCCTGAGCAGAGATCTCTTCATTCCTTGTCTTTGCAGCCCCAGCTCCCCACCCAGCACCTGGCATCTGCAGGGTGCTTCATCAGTGCCTGGGGGTTGACGGACTGGCCATCCACCAATGGACTTGAAGACCACCACACCCTGCAGAAACTTCAGTTCTCAAAGGTCTGAAATTCCTCAGCCTTTCACCTCCTCCTTTACTATCTGCGATTTGACTCAGCGGCTGGAACCAAGACAATCCAACCACCTTGTGCACGGTTAGCCAAACCATGATTGCTGTGTTGGGACTCCCCTGACATTAGCCCCCAGACATTAACCCCTTGGCACTAAACCCCTGACGTTAACCCCCAGGCAGGATCCCCCTGACGTTAACCCCCAGGCAGGATCCCCCTGACTTTAACCCCCAGGCAGGATCCCCCTGACTTTAACCCCCAGGCAGGATCCCCCAGACGTTAACCCCCAGGCAGGATCCCCCTGACGTTAACCCCCAGGCAGGATCCCCCTGACTTTAACCCCCAGGCAGCATCCTCCTGACGTTAACCCTCAGGCAGGATCCCCCTGACGTTAACCCCCAGGCAGAATCCTCCTGACTTTAACCCCTAGGCAGTAACCCCTTAACAGCCACCTGACAGTAACCTTGTGCCCACACTCACTTTTGCTGCTCTTGCAAGGAGGGGCTCCAGACCTCCAGCACATAGCCATCAAAGTGCTTATTCTGAAAGACAAAGGAGATTAGCGTGGCTCTGTCACTGGGAACACACCTGGGAAGATGAAGGCAAGCCCCAGAGGATGTTAGCTGCTCTGGCCCCCTGCCTTTCCTCAGTCACCTGCACCAAGATACTCACCAGCTGGGCATGACAGAAGAGACTCAGTAGCCAGACACTTCTCTGTACCACTGTCCTCCTCCTGCCACTGGGGGTGGGGGTCCCGAAGCCTTCAGAGCCTGGAGCTAAGGCCCGGCCACTTTCCTTCCTAGTTCCCAAAGTCCAAAAGGACTTCAATCCAGGTGCGTGTTTTCTCCCACCTCTTCCCTGTGACCTTGGAGCCCTGAGCTTGGCAGAGGTTTGTTTCTGGCCTAGATGGTGGGGGAGGCCAAGTGGAAGAGGGCCAGGGTGTGGCAGTGGCACTGAGAGCCCACTGTGTGGAGGCGGGGTAGACATCTCCACAGCACAGTGTGGGGGGCACTAAGCAGGCTGGTCATAACAGCCGTGAGGATGGGTGTTTGACAACAGACACTCCTACCACGGCAGCTACGTCGGACGGACACGTCCTTTGGGTCCTACCCGTCACTCCTCGTCGTACTCAATCACAACCACAATTGTTCAGCCGTTCCCCAATGGACGGGCATCCCCTCAACCTCCAATCCTTGGCACCACAAAAAGAGCTGCTATCAATATTTTTGTACATGTGGGTCCTTTTCCCTTTTTTATGATCTCTTTGGGATACAGACCTAGCAGTGGTATTGCTGGGTCAAAGGTGTGCAGGGTTTTATAGCCCCTTGGGCCTAGTTCCAACTTGTTCTCCAGAATGGCTGGATCGGTTCACAACTCCACCAGCAGTACATTGGTGGCCCAATTTCTCCCCCTCCCCTACAACGTTTGCCATTTTCCTTTTCTGTCATTAGTCAATCTGATAGGTGTGATGTGGTACCTCAAAGTCGTTTTGATTTGCATTTCTCTAATCAATAGTGATTTAGAGCATTTTGTCACATGACTCCAGATGGCTTTGATTTCTCCACCTGAAAACTGCCTTTTTCATATCCTTTGACCATTTATCAATTGGGGAATGACTCATATTCTTCTTTTTTCTCTTTTTTGGAGGCAATCAGGGTTAAGTGACTTGCCCAGGATCACATAGTTAGTAAGTGTCTGAGGCCAGATTTGAACTCACCTCCTCCTGACTCCAGGGCCAGTGCTCTATCCACTGGGCCACCTCGCTGCCCCTATGACTTGTATTCTTAGAGATCTGAGAAATGAGGTCTTAGTTGGAGAAACCTGCTGTAAAAAAATTTCCCCAGTTTTCTGCCTTCCTTCTAATCACGGCTGCAATGGTTGGGTTTGTGCTAAAACCTTTTTAATTTAATCAAAATTATCTATTTTTATTTCCCATAACACTCTCTATCTCTTGTTTTGTCACAAACTCTTCCCTTACCCGTTGATCTGACAGGTGAGCTACTCCACACTCCCCTCATTTGCTTATGACATCACCCTTCATGTCTGAATCATGTACCCCTTTTGGACTTATCTGGGCAGACGATGTGAAATATTGGTCTATATCTAGTCTCTACCAAACTACTTTCTAGTTTTCCCAACAATTTTTGACAAGTAGTGGGTTATTGTCCGCAAAGCCAGGGTCTCTGCATTTATCCGACACGAGACGACTATGGTCGTTTCCTCCTGGGCACCGTGTGCCCACTCTGTCCCACTGATCTGCTCCACTTCTCCACTTCTGAGTCAGTACCAGACTGTTCCGATGACTGCCGCTTTATAACACGGTTTGAGACCTGGTATGACTAGGTAGCCTTCCTTCACACTTATTTTCACTGATTCTCTTGATTTCTTGACCTTTTGTTCTTCCAGATGAATTGTTATTTTTTTCTAGCTCTATGCTAATCTTTCGGCAATTTGATTGGTATGATGCTGAGTAAGTAAATTGATTCAGGTAGAACCATCATTTTATTAAATTGGCTTAGCCTGCCTACTGGCAATTTAAATTTCCCCAATTATTTAGATCTGACTATATATGTGAAAAGTGTTTTGTAATTGTGTTCATCGAGTTCCTGGGTTCATCTTGGCAGGCCGACTCCCAAACATCCTACGTTGCCTTTTCTGGTCATTCAGTTGTTTTTCAGTCACGAAAAACTCTCTGTGACCTTATGTGAGGTTTTCTTGGCGGAGATACTGGAGTGGTTGGCCTTTTCTTGCTCCAGCTTATTCTACAGATGAGGAAACTGAGGCAAACAGGGTGAAGTGACTTGGCCAGGGTCACACAGCTAAGTGTCTGTGGCTGGAACTGAACTCAAGAAGAGGAATCTGACTCCAGGCCCAGGATGCTATCCACTTGTGCCGCCGAGCTGCCTACAGTTATCGTCAATGCGATTTCTCTTTCTATCTCTTGCCGATGGACTTTGTTGGTCATATAGAAATGCTGATTTACGTGGGTTTATTTCAAATCCTTCAGCTTTGCTGAAATTGTTATTTCAACTACTTTTTAGTGGATTCTCTAAGTGTACCATCATAACATCTGCAAAGAGTAATAATAGTTTTGTTTCCTCATTGCCTAGTCTAATTCCTTCGATTTCTTTTTTTCTCTTATTGCTAAAGCTAACATTTCTAGCACAATACTAGTGAATGGTAGTGGGGATAACAGGAATCCTGATCTTACTGGGAAGGCTGCTGGCTTATCCCTAATCCAGATAATGCTTGCTGATAGTTTTAGACAGAGCCTAGCTGTTGTCCTTCATTCTTGAAGACATCACCAAAATGACATCACTATGTCGGGGTCAAGGTCTAATGTGTCCAACTGTGGCTAATCAGACCAATACGAGCTCAGAAGACTCTATCCCAGGTCAGGCACCAATAGTCCACGTGAACATTTGGGGTGGAGATGGCTCTAAATTTGTGCATCTCACATTTCTTTCGAGCTACTGCAATTCTGTTTCCCTCACATGGCACAGCGCCTTCTCTGATGAGGGCATGTCATGCTGGGCAGTCCTGTGCCAGTGTCTCCCATGTCATGCAATCAATTTCCAAAGTTCTTCAGAGAGACCTCGAGACAGTCCTTGTATTGCTTCTTCTGACCTCCATGTGAGCCCCTGCCTTGCGTGAGTTCTCCATAAAATAGTCTTTTGGACAAATGTACGTTGGCATTTGAACAATAGTGCCAGCCCGCTGGAGCTTCACTCTCTGCAGCAGAGTTTAAATGCCTGGCAAAAAGGACCTCAGCGTCTGGTATCTCATCCTGCTGGGTGATCTTTAGCATCTTCCTAAGACAATCCAAATGGAGGTGATTCCGTTTCCTGGCATGGCGCCGGTAGATGTCCAGGTTTCACAGGCATACAACAACGAGGTCAGTGCGATGTGGACCTTCAGTCTGATAGGCAGCCTACTACCTCTTCTCTCCCACACTTTCCTTCACAGCGTCCTCAACACGGAGCTAACTCTGGTAATGCATTTGTCAACCTCATCATCTATGTGGACGTCCCAGGAAAGTCTACTGCCAAGGTGAGTGAACTTATCCATAGCATTCAGCATTTCTCCATTCGCTGTAACCGATGGTTCCACGTATGGATGGTGTGGTGCTGGCTGGCTGGTGGAGAACCTGTGTTTTCTTGGTGTTAATAACCGTCAGGCCAAAATTAGCACAAGCAGCAAAGAACTGATCCATATTGTGCTGCACCTCAGCCTCAGAGGCTGCACTGAGTGCACAATCATCTGCAAACAGAAAATCATGCACCAATTCTCCCTCCACTTTAGTTTTGGCTTGTAGCCTTTCTAAGTTAAATAATTTACACTCAAAGTGGCAGTGGACCTCGATACTGTTTTTGCCTTCGTTCAAAGTGTGTGACAACACTGCCGAAAACATCATGCTAAAAACCACGGGAACAAGCACACGTCCCTGCTTGACTCCACTGGTCACTGGGAAAGCACGAGAGCATGGTCCATTTTTAGAAAAAGACGGTATTTATCATCTGAAGGAAAGCTCCATTATTCCTCTGCTTTCCAGTGTTTTAAATAGGAACGCGTGTTGTATTTTATCAAAAGCTTTTTCCCCACCTACTGAGATAATCACACGATTTCTGCTGCTTGTGTTACTGACATGGTCAAACATGCTGATCGTTTTCCTAACACTGAACCAGCCCTGCACCATCCAGTCATCGTGCATGATTTTTGTGACATATTGCCGTAATGTCCTCGCTAGCATTTATCTAAAACTTCTGCATCAACATTTGTTAAGGTTATCAGTCTATAGTTTTCCTTCTCTGTTCTTGCTCTTCCTGGTTTAGGTATTAGGACCATATTTGTGACGTAAAAGGAATTTGGTAGGATTTCTTTGCCTATTTTTCCAAATAGTTTATAAAGTATTGGAATTCATTGTTCTTTAAATGTTTGGTAGAATTCACTTGTGAATCCGTTTCGTCCTGGGGATTTTTGCTTTGGGAGTTCACTGACAGCTTGTTTGATTTCTTTTTCTAAGATAGGGTTATTTAAGTACTCTGTTTCCTCTTCTGTTCATCTGGGCAATTCATATTTTTTAAGTATTCATTCATTTCACTTAGATTGTCAGATTTATTGGCATATAATTGCACAAAATAATGCCTAATAATTGCTTTAATCTTCCCTTCATTGGTGGTGGGTACCCTTTTCATTTTTGATACAGGCAATTTGACTTTCCTCTTTTTTCAAAAATAACATTAACCAATGGTTTATCTACTTTAGTGCTGGGTTTCTAACCTCCCCTCCCCCCAATAAAACCAGATCTTAGTTTTATTTATTAGTTCAATGGTTTTTTTTTATTTCAATTTTATTCATCTCTCCTTTGATCTTCAGGATTTCTAATTTGATGCTTAACTGGGGATTTTAAGTTTTTTTCTAGTTTCTTTTAGTTGTATGCCCAATTCACTGATCTCTTCTCTCTCTATTTTATTGAAGTAAGCATTTAGAGACAGAAATTTTTCCCTACATCCTGCTTTGATTACATCTCATAAATTCTGGTATATTGTTTCATTGCTGTAATTCTCTTTAATGAAATTATTGATTGCTTCTGTGATTTGTTCTTTGACCCACTCATTCTTTAGTATTAGATTATTTAGTCTCCAATTAATTATTAATCTGTTTCCATGGCCCTTTATTCAATGTAATTTTTATTGCATTATGATGCATTATGAAAAGGATGCATTTACTATTTCTGCTTTCCTACATTTGATTGTGAGATTTTTATGCCCTACACATGGTCAATTTTTGTATAGGTGCCATACACCACTGAGAAAAAGGCATATTTCTTTCTATTTCCATTCAATTATCTCCAGAGGTCTATTATATCTTTTTTTAAAAGAAAATTCTATTCATCTCCTTAACTTCCTTCTTCTTTATTTTTTGGTTAGATTTATCTAGTTCTGGGAGGAAAGAGTTGAGGTCCCCCACTAGTACAGTTTTATTGTCTATTTCCTCCTGTAACTCATCTAACTTTTCCTTTAAGAATCTGGATGCTGGGGCAGCTAGGTGGCACAGTGAATAGAGCTCTGGCCCTCCTCAAAAGCCTGTTTTGCTTCTGACCCCTGTCTCCTCCCTTCTATCTTTTATCCCTCTCTCCTACGTCCCTGAAAAGGAAGACAGAGTTCTACGCTCAATTGAGTGTGTGCAGTATCTCTCTTTGAGCTAGCTCCAAGGAGGGTGAGGTTCAAGCATGGCCTGCCACCATCACTCCATCTTCCCCTCCACTGTAAAAACTCTTCCTGTCATGCCTCTTTTATGTGAGATCACCTACCCCATTCTACTCCTCTCCTCCCTCTTCTTCCAGTGCATCCCTTTTTCTCACCCCTTAATTTTATTTTGTGAAATCACATCATAGTCAACGGACACCTGTGCCCTCTCTCTATTTATACTCCCCTAACTGTCCTAATGATGATAAAGTTCTTAAGAGTTACAAGTACCATCTTCCTACGGAGGAATGGACACAGTTTAACCCTATCGAATCCCTTGATTTCTCTTTCCTGTTTACCTTTTTATGCTTCTCTTCAAGTCTTATATTTGAAAGCCAAATCTTCTATTCTGCTCTTTTCATCAGGAATGCTTGAAAGTCCTCTATTTCATCAACTATCTACTTTTTCCCTGAAGGATTAAATTCAGTTTTGCTGGGTAGGTGATTCTCGATTGTAATCTTAGTTTCTTTCCCCTTTGGAATGTCACCCCCTACGGCCTTCAGTCTTGTAACGTAGAAGCTGCTAAATCTTGTGTGATCCTGACTGTGGCTCCATCATATTTGAATTGTTTCTTTCCGAGTGCTTGCAGTACTTTCTCCTTGACCTGGAAGCTCTGGAATTTGGCTGTAATATTCCTGGGGGTTTTCATTTGGCTCTTTTTTTATTTTTGAACATGGCTTTCAGGTAATTCAATAATTCTTTTTTTTTTTTGGCTAGGCATTGCGGTTAAGTGACTTGCCCAGGGTCACACAGCTAGCAAGTGTCAAGCGTCTGAGGCCGGATTTGAACTCAGGTCCTCCCAACTCCAAGGCTGATCCTCTATCCACTGCGCCACCTCGCTGCCCCCGCCAATTCTGTTTTTAATTCAGTGGATTTTTGTATCTCTTTTACCATTTGACCACTTCTGTTTTTTAAGGTGTTATTTTCTTCAGTATTTTTTTTTGTGCCTTCTGTTGACTTTCTTTTCATAATTTTCTTGCAAAATTTTCATTTCTTTCCCCAATTCCCCTCCTCCCTCTCTTCTTTAATTTAAAATCCTTTTTTGAGTTCTTCTAGGAATTAGTTTTGGGCCTATGACCAATTCACATTTTTCTCTGAAGCTCTGCACGTAATTGTGATTTGTCTTCTTCTGATTTCTGTCTTGATCTTCCCTGTCACCATAGTAACTTTCTATGGTCAATTTCTTTTTTATCATTTGCTCATTTTCCCAGCCTATTTCTTGACTTATAATTTTGTTAAGAAGTTGGGCTTTGCTTCCAGGGTGGAGGGGGCACTGTCCCAAGCTTCAGGCCTTTCTTGCTGCTACTTTCAGAGCCAGCTCTGGGGCGGTCTGTAGGTTTTCAGTTCTTCCAAGGTCGTATGATATGAAGAGAGGTGAGATCACTGCTCCCCTGGCTTGTGGTCTGGTCTGTGAGCCACCACGTGCACTCTTCTCTACCCTGGAACTGTAACCAGGGCTCCTTTACCCCTGTGGCTGTAAGAGCTAGTGAGCTACGGCTTCTCTTGGCTCTGGGACGGTGACCCAGAATTACATATGGGCAATGCAACAGGGTCCTGCACTAGTGCCAGCAAAAGGTTCCCTGTAATCTCCTTCTGACCAGCTGTCTGACTGAAACACTCTCTGTGGGCTGAGAGCTGCCACTGCCACTGATGAACTACCTCCAAGACCTGCTGCTGGTGCCCACGGTGAGCTGCGCTGTGCAGTCCGACCCCCACCCCACTGAGACAGATCTTCCCTGCTGACCTCCCAAGTTGTCCTGGGCTGGAAAGGCGTTTCACCCTGACCTTGGGTTTGTTCTGCCCCTCCAGAATTCAATTTGAGGCATTACTTTAAAGCTGTGTGGAGGGGGCCATCTTGGCTCCACCTTCCTCAGGAAGCAGGCACTTGAGAGGTCAGCAGCAGGACTGTGGTGGAAGGTGGGCCTTGGAGGTTTGGGGCACCTGGGGGGTTCGTACCCAAGAAGTGACTCCATTTAATATGCAGCTGGCAAAGAGCTGGTTGCCTGGAGGCCCCTGAGGCTGGAGGAGCAGAACATTTTGGTGGGCATCAAAACCAGATGGGATATTCTCAGTTTCACATCTGACCCTCAAGTTTGTCAAATGAGTCAGATTTGGGGAGGGTCGGACCCCGAGGTCTGGAGGGTGGCCTCTGGGGCACCTAAGTGAATTCCTCTCCCTGTCCTGGCTGGTCTCTGATCTGGTGCCAGAAAGTTGCCCATTCTGAGTCCCCGGAGGGGAGTCCTGACCAGCAGGTGCTGGGAGCCCCATGCTCGTGCACCACGTTCTCAGACCTTGTGGGCAAGTGTCCCCAGATCCTGGGAAAGTCACCAAGCAAATGCTGCCCCACAGGACATGGGGTTTCTTGGGACTCACACTAAAAATCCAACGGAAGGCATTCCCTTCTATGCCATCCTGAGGAAGTGAACAGAGGATGCCACCCAGCAAGAGAATCAGTTCACAAGGCAGGAGGAGCCACATCCAGCTCCTGGCAGGACGGAGTCAGGGCCAGCCCGATGCCACTGACTGGCCCCCGGCAGCACCAAGACCTACCTGTGCCACCTGGACGAAGGTCTTAGCAAGCTCTTCTATCTCATCTTCACTGCTAAACAAGCTTTTGTAGTCGTCGCGAGTCCACTTGTCAAACAAGATCCGAGGCACTGAAAAGGATACGCCAGTGAGAAAAGTGAATAGCTGGGGGGAGCCCACATAGGGGCTCCGTGGCCCTACCCTGCATGGGGCTGGCTTTGGAGGTCTCTGGGGGGGGGGAAGGAGGAGGGAAAGAGAAGAAAGGGGGAGGAAGGGAGGAAATAAGAGAGGCCCTGCCTGCAGTAGTATGCCCACTAGACACCCCAGCCAGCCCAGCCAATCCTCCCAAAAGGAAAGCTGGCAACTGAAATACATGGATGCACGTGGATGCACATGTGCTCTCTCTCTCTCTCTCTCTCTGTCTCTCCCTCTCTGTATGGGTGTCTCTCTTTCCTCTCTCCCACCTTCCTGGCTTCCTTCTTCTTCAGAAAAGGAGCTGGCCCTGGAGAGGTTGGGAAACCAGGGCCTGTCAGCCCTCCCTGCCCTAAGCCCACAAAAGGGCCAGCGCTCTCCATGGTACTGATCTGCTGATCTCCAGACTGGCTGGGCAGACTCCCTCCACTTGGGGAGCCCTGCCTTCCCCTCAGCCAGGCACCTCCACCCTCAGCCCGATCCCCTTCCACAGACCCTACTCACCAATGCGCACATTTTTCGCTTGCTTCTTAACGCTTTTCATCCAGTCTGTTAGAAGAGCAAGAGAAGAAACAGAAACATGAACCCACAAGCTCTGTCGGACATGTCAGCCCTATGCCTCCAGGACAGTGATACCAGTTATGTGGCAGCTCCAGAGAGAGAGGCCAGCCCAAGTGCAGCCCCTTCCCCTGGGGCAATGCTGGTCAGCAAACCACCCATTTTGCAGACAACCCTGGCCCCCTACTGAGCCGACCAATCCTGGCACAGCACCCAGGGCACCAACACCCCCAGCAGCCTGCCCAAAAGTCAAGAGGCTCAGAAGAGCTAGGCTGCCCTGGCCTCCAACAAGGGACCCTGGGGCTTCAGCCCCAACCCAGGAAGCCCCTCAGGCCCCCCCTCCCCTGGGCAGCCTGGCAGAGTGGCCCTGTCACACAGGAGGCAGGGATGGGCATCTTGACCCTTAAGCCCTGCCAGGGTCCTGAACTCTCATCGAGGTCCCCTCTTTCACTGCAGGATCTGTCCTGGAGATTTGTCCCCAGACCTGAGCCACAAACAGGGCTCACACAGCACCTGAAAGGGTGGTGCCAAGAAACGTCACCCTCTCCCTGAGAAATGTGGAGACGTCTCCTCACCACACATACACACTCGCCCACCCCACACGTGTGCACTGACACACACATCACACACATGTGCACTCACATACAGACACACACACATCACACAATCGCACACCACACACTTGCCTGTCCCACACATGTGCACCGTCACACACGTACATCAGACACACATGTGCACTCATGTACAGACACATACACATCACACACACACTTGCACGCCCCATACATGTACACTGACACACACAAATATCAGGCACGCACATGTACACTCATGCACAGAGACACATACAGCATATCACACACTTGCACACCACACACATGTGCACTGGCACACAGACATCACACACACACATACACACATACAACACACCTGCACACGTATGCACCTCACATACACATACTTGCACACATACATCAACACATACTTGCACACCCCACACAATGTACTGACACACACCACACACATGTGTACTCACGTACAGACACACACACCACACACGTGCACACATTTGCACACCACACATTTGCACGTCCCACACATGTGCACCGACACACACATGCATCAGACACA